CTTAAAAGGAGTTCTGAGCTTGCTTTGCACCACAGAACTCTATAACCTATATGCAAATAAGAGTAAATTAGCATAAATGACTTCCTGCTGCATAAAGAAGAGGTAAAGAAAAATATGACAGGCTCCATGAGTATGTAACCGCTGTCAAAACTTGAAGTCCAACATCCCCAAATTACTCTCAACATCTTCTGCCAAGTTCTAGTTAAGAACAATCTTACCAACAGGAATTTACTGTATAAAAATGAGCAAGAAAAACAGCTGGAGCACTGCCAAGTTATCCAACAAAGAGATGTGGTGGCAACGGGAACGGCACCAGGGCCACAGTGAAAACTCTTGACCAACACATTGTGAAAGAAGCTCTGTTGAAGTTTTACCTTCAGGAAGGCATTAGAAATGCTTTCTGTCAAATACAAATGCTTATAAAATCATGGGTCAGTGTCAGATTTGTTAGAGTTCAAAGAAATCACTGCCATAAAAATTCTAATTTCCAATGATCTATTTTTTAAATAGATGCTCATTTTTAAATGTAAAGTTTATAAAACACAAAAAAGCCACAGGGGCCTGGTCTCATGTCAGACTCTCCTCTAGAGATACTTGGAAAGATTACAGAAAATCAAAGAAACCAATGGGAGTCCATGCTTAGTCTGTTTGGAAGAGCCTATTCAACCTAAGAGAAAGTTCTTAACTTGTGGATTAGTGTTTTCAAAGACAAACCTTACTACCCATTAAAGTGTAAGATGTCAAGAATGGAGGAGGAGAGAGGGAAGAAAGTAAAACCACAAGGCTGGAGAAGAATATTCTAGGCATCTTGGTGAATATACTTCTGGGTCTAGCAGCCATTGTTTTGATAGGACACAAAAAGGCAAACCTAAAGTCACTTCAAAACAAACAGAATGCATTTTAATAATGAAAAATGAGTAAGAGAATTTTCCTATTTTGTGACTTAAGATTTAAATCACAATTGAATGTATTTTGACTTAAATTAAATCTGCCCTAACTCTATTCTTAAAGATAGAATTACCAAATCATTACCGATTAGAGAAATGCAAATTAAAACAACCTCACACCTATCAGATTGGCTAATATGATGAAAAAAGTAAAATGCTGGATGTTGGAGGGGACGCGGGAAAACTAGGACACTAATGCACTGCTGGCAGAGTTGTGAACTAATCTAACCATTCTGGAGAGCAATTTAGGACTATGCCCAACGGGTTATAAAACTGTGCATACACTTTGATCCAGCAATACCACTGCTAGGTCTCTATCTCAAAGACATCCAAAAAAAGGGAAAAGGACCTATTTGTATAAAAATATTTATAGCAGCTTTTGTGTGTGTGTGTGTGTGTGTGTGTGTGTGTGTGTGTGTGTGTGGTGGCTAAGAACTGGAAATCAAAGGGATGCCCATCAATTGCAGAATGGCTAAATAGCTGTGGTATATGATTGTGATGGAATATTATTGTGCTATAAGAAATGACAAGCAAGATGATTTCAGAAAAACCTAGAAAGACTTACGTGAACTGATGCATAGTGAAGTGAACAGAACCAGGAGAATGTTGTACATAGTAAAAGCAATACTGTTTGATGAAGAACTGTGAATGACTTAGCCAGTGATCCAAGACAATCCCAAAGGACTAATGATGAAGCATGTTGACTGAAACATGTATTTTTCACTTTCTTTCTTTCATTTTTTTCTTTCGAGTCTTCTTGTACAAAATGACTAATATGGAAATTGTTTACATAACTGCACATGTGTAACCTATATCTGATCACTTACCTTTTCAGGGAGGGAGGGACAGAATTTGGAACTCAAAACTTCAAATAAAAATGTTAAAAAATTAAAAAAAAAAAAGGGCCAGAAGCAAAAAAAAAAAAAAAAAAAGTACCATTACAACTTCAGATTAAAAAGTAAAATGTCAACTAATACTACTGACACATGTACTACCAACTAATCTTGCATTAATGTGATTTATAACTGTCAACAGCATCTTATGTCATATGATCAAAATCTTGCTCTAGAAGTCACAAAAGTCAGCCTTTCATAGATTACCCAGGTAATATACTTTATTCACCAACATCTAAAAAGCTTCAACTGAGACTCTCTGAGACAACTTTTATAAACCACTTCAACACAGTGCTGAATAAAGTCATAGCTTTTGATGAAAATAAATATCCAGGGACATCATAGTAACATAGATGTATATGTGTGTGTAGATATATGTAACATATATATTATATGTGTATTGAGAAACTATATATGTGTTTTTAGAAAATACATGTGTACTGAGAAAATTTTTACTGCCAAAATAAATTCACCTGACAAAATTAGGTAAACTAGGCTTGTTTTATGTTTTTTTTTTAATTTTTATGCAAAAAAAAGGAAACTGTCATTTTTGTGAAAATTAATACAACAGGAAAAATCTGTGATAAAGTTTTATAAAACTGGTGCCTTCCTGAAAAGCTACATGCCAAAAATCTTGACCTGAAGGTACCAGAAGGAAAGTTGACCAGCCAATCAGTATAATGCAAAGAGGGAAAATCATTCTTTTCTTTCCCTTAGATTTTCTTGGGGGGAAGAAAACTGCCCATTCTACCTGTTATCTTCCCAGTTATCTAGCACTTTCCAAAATAAACTAGCAGTAAATTAGTCAACTAAATTGGTAAGGTATCAGGCATTATGGGATAAAAATCTGATTTATAATCACAAATTTCTAATTTGTTAATTCTCTAATTTTTAAATGCATATTCATTAATATTCTCTTTTTCTTTTGTTAATATATGATTGTAAAGATGTAATTTTTCCCCTGAGGACTACAGAAATTTTGATAAGTTGTTTCATCATTACAATAATTTTCTTTCAGTTATTGTTTCTATGATCTGTTCTTTGGACCACTCATTATTTAAGATTTCATTGTTAAGTCTTCATTTTGGTCTGAATGTTTTGTTGCGAATCCAGATAGGAAGTAGACTTAGCTGCATCCTTACCCTGAAGAGCAAGGCCTCTTGCCTCTTATATTGGTGGCCTGACTAGAATCACTCGCTCACCTACTGCTAGGCTGTGGCTGGTCTTGCACTGTTCCTCTGGGTTCTGGGCTTTGGCCACTGGCAATGAAACTGAATCACCTGCTGAAGAACATCAACACCAGAACTGAAGGATACTGTTGATTTGGGCCAAAATGGGAGGAGTCAGTACTTGAAAAGGGACTATTAGGTGGCATTTATTTGCCATGAAACTCTTCCTGAAGAGATTGGCCAAAGCACAACAAACAGACCAGTTTGTGGCCATAAAGTCATTTCATTAAGACCATAAAGATCTCAGGCTGAATGGCCACACTCATTTTAAAGATGAGTAAACTGAGGCTCCAAAAGTTTAAGTAATTTGGCCATGGCAACATAGAGGTGGTATGGATTTAAAATCAGGTCTTCCTGACTGGAAATCTAGCATTCTAAGCAATTAGGCACACTTCCTAATTTTGACACATTCCCTGTTGTGACTCCATCTTACTCTTAATTCAACCCTGCTTGTTGAAGGAGAAAATATCAGACTCCAATTGAATTTGGAATTTCTAAGAAGTTGAAATAACCAATTTTCATGGAGAAAAATTAACAGCAGTTAATTTATCCAAAAATAAAATCTTTCCATTCACAAGTTTAACATTTAGTGCTTAAAAACAAATACAAGGTCGGTTTTTTTTTTTAAATGAATTTCCCCAAAATTAGAGAATCAAAAGACAGAAACATGCACAGATATGAAAAGGGTCATAAGGGCCTCATGAATAAGAAGGGAATTTAGAAAAAAAAAGTTCTCACATTCTGTGATCCATTTAACCTTTAAGTTAGCAGTCAAGATGTAAGAAGATCTTAAGGGAATGTTTTCAATGCACTGATTAAATTCTTCAATTGAACAATGAAGGCTGAGATAATAAAATTATTTTATATTGAAATAGGTAAGTACATTCACATGGGGATAAAGAAACAGAAGAAGACAAAAGAAGATCATGCCTGTAACATTGGGTATAATTGATGGAAAGATTCATTATTCACCTGCTGAGTACAAAATGAGAACAATGAGCTAGAAATTAATCTTTTACGGGGGGAAACTTACTTTTGATTTAAAGGTTTTTTAAAAGTCTTCTCATTTCAAATAGATGATAAGAAATAGGTTTCAATCTCTAGTTTCTCAGAACTTGGAACTGTTGCTACAGTAAACTCATGCATCTTATAAGTAATAAAGTAGGTAATGGTGAGCAAAAATAATTTTTTAAGGTAAGATTTCTAAGATATGATTTTCCTAAATAAAAGTCTGTTACAAAGTCCCCTCTCTGTCATCTTTATCCTTTCCTCGTAACTATTTTCCAACAAGAATAGCAATTGGGATTTGTGACTTCACCTGTATAGGGAACTCCCAGGGAAGGAAATTTCCTCTAGCAATACAACTTCTCTGCAACTTACTTAGAAAGTTTCCTAGGGCACAGAGGTTAAGGGACTTGCCTAGGGTCACACAGCCACTCTGTGTCAGAAGAAGGACTTGAAGCCAGGAAGTTTCAAGGTCTGCTATCTATCCACTAGGCCAAGTTGCTCTCCTTCCACAACAAGGAAAATTCAAATAATTTAAAATTTGTTTTATACTTCCAAGTTATATGCATGAAAAAGCAAGTATACATGATAGTGTTCCAAGGATTTGCCAGAATTTCTCAGTTACTTATGTTCCAAGGATTCACAATTTAAATATTTTGGAAAATCCAACTGAGACAAAGTTTTGAACACCTGGTCAGAGTATCTTACAAAGAATCTTTTAGATACTTTGTGCAGAGGCAAATTAACCAGGAGCAGTCAAATAAGAACCAGGAAGGGTCTGGTATGATTATTTGTTCTCACCGTTCCTTGCACTGTGAAATGCTCCAAAAACTAAGGCAGGAAAGGGAGGCTCCATGAGAACCTGAGAGAGGCATTCAGTTGAATGCTGCTTGAATCACTCTGGCTTCAGATTCATTTTCACTCACCCGCGCTTGGAGCTATGTAATTCCTTCTCCTTCCCTCTCTCTCTCTCCTTCTCTCTCTTCTCTTTTTCTCGGCCTTTACGACGGTCTCTTTCACGAGATCGGCTACGAGTTCTTCTGTGGCTAGATCTTTCACTACTTCGACTATGGGAACGAGGACGAGGCCTTGACCTTGACCTATGGAAAACATTTAATATAAAACAAATCAGTTTGTCTATTAACCAAAAGAAAAAATAGTTCCTTAGTTCTTAATTACAGTTTACCAGGAATTAAGAAATTCCATTAAACATGCACTTGTGTTAACTAAGTAAGATAATTTATCTATGTACTGCATTTCAAGCGACGTAAGGTCTAAAGCACAATGGCTGACTGACATACATCCTTGCAAGACCACTGGATGCTCAGGAAGCATCCTTTCGTTCCTAATGTCACCATTTGGGACTCCCCTCCTCTCTTCCTTTGCTTTGGCTAGATATTGCCTAGAACCAACACTACTGCTCCTAATTTCTCTACACTTACCTCAGGTAGGGTCCAGGGCAAAGGCTTCTATGATGGGTCTAGCAATGGCAGATTCAGTATGGAGAGTCAGGAGGAACGGATGGGGAAATGCTGAGGATCCTCCTACTTCTCCTCCACTACTGGCTCTCCTAATCCTAGCACTAACCTCCTTTGAAGGTTTCCTGATCTCTGGACCATTTCTCTCCCAACACCAAGGCCATATCCTGTCCCTTTCCCCAGAACCATTACCTCAGGTTCTGGGATAGCTTATCCAGCCCAGTCCAAATCTAGTTTTCTCCTAAAACACTGATGAATATATTACTGCAGTCTACTCTGAATAAAGACTTTGAACATTCAGAGATGTTTGAAGAGGATGTGGGAGGAAAATGGTGAGAATCGAGAACATATAAAAAGGAGAATTTAATGGTTCTCCATTTTAGCTTTGATTACTAACAGTAAATTTCAAAAAATCACAAAACTTAAAGGGCTATGAATAAGTCTATCTGGTCAGAAGCAACATTAGAATTGACAATGGAAAGGGAAACAGGAGGATCAGTCCATGGGACCCTTCATTAAAAAAAGAAAAAAAAAAAAGCAAAAGGTAACCAAGAGCCTGCCAAAACCAAGTGTCCCTCAGAGCTGACACCACAATAGGATACTGTCCTACCACACAGCTCCTTATCCCTGAGAGCTCCTTTCCTCTCTCCTTAGCTACCACAAGCCTCCATCCCCAGTGCTTGGACTCCGCTACTTTTACTCTGCCCTACTTGGATAGATACTCTGGATCTTGGGCCTTGGTTTGGACCTTCTACCAATAGCATTCATGGCCTGCTTGTCTTTTTCCGTTGTCTATTTATCTATTAGTTTTGGACTATACTTGAGACTTGTGTCTTTGCATACTAAGCTCTAGAATAATGAACTCTTGATCATCACTTAATCCTCTGGATTTGCATGGACTCTCAGTCCATGATGTCCTAAATTTGGTCAGTCCTCTGGCCACCACCTGAATACCCATTACAATAAATTGAGCTCCCATAGCTAGAAAGTAAAGAGCAGCAACTCCACAATAATAATTACGGCTACATCTCTGAGACAATCCACAACATTTGTTCTTCCCAGGAGCGATTAGACTGGGGTTTGAGAAGTGGAGGAGAGAAAGAAGGCCTTATAACATCTGATGCCATTTCAGAGAATCTACCAAATTCTCTCAGGATGTGATAAAGTTAGCTTAAAAGATTAAAATGTACTCAAATAAGGCATTTTACAAAACCCCAACTTAAAAAAAAATAGGAAAAAATTTTTGAAAAATTACTTTCTATAGCTAGAAATAGTACCATTAATCTAATTGCTATATGACTAACAGAGACTACTATTGTATCATTTTATGTAGTAGTTGGTACTTTTATCTCATAGCCTTCACTTTATTAACTTCTCATTGCAACTTTTCACTATGTGTGGACTTCCAGAGGGGTTTTAGTAGGAACGAAATTAACCAGAATGCTTGAGGGATAGATTTGTTCAGCATTTTAGTCTTGTGAATAATTGAGAGTTAATCTATCCATATACTCTCCTGCATTAGCAAATAAAATAGAGCAAACTATGAGCCTGAATAATTCAGGATCTTTCAGTACTTCAGGATCATCCTTCAGAATAACAGAATAATTGAATACTACCAATCGAGAATAAAAAGACTGAGTCGTACTAATCCCAGGGCACACCCCAGCAGCTGCTCTTTTAAATCAGTCCCTGATTTAAACTTTAGGAACATAGTCATTTTATCTTGCACTGTTCATGATGAACAAGTAGGCCATTATGAAGATAATTACAGCTTAGTCATAGAGGATGGAGAAATGGAAAAGTTTTATGAAGAACTCGACAAGATTGCACAAAGTATGATAGGTATGCCTTGATCTCTGGTGACTTCAACAACAAAAAAAGTACAAGTAGTTAAAGATATGTGGAAAAATATGATTGTGGCTACTAAAATAAAAGATACCAAAAGTCCTTCAATTACTTAGAAGCCTAGGGCCTTTATATAATTAATATTTTCCTTCAAGAGTTACTACAGAAGTTGCAATACCATCTGATTTACCCTGATTAAAAAGGCTCTGAAAAAAATTGAAATGGACAAGATATGTTTATTCTATTAACATATATAAAAGAGGCTAAGCCAATGTAAAATGGTTGCTACCATAAAGAAATCAAATATTGTAAGAGTGGGTTGATGAAGGAACAGATCATCGAAGTGGGACAGCACCGCTGGGACCCAATGCCGGAAACTGCTCCAGACTCCTCTTCTTCTTTCCTCTTCTTCTCCTTCTCTTCCTCTTCCCTTTTTCTTTCTTCTTCTTCTCCTCCACCTCCTTTTAAATAATGGATCTATAGTGAATTGGAGTAAGGTTCCTAACAGTACAATAGTAGTGGACTGAGGTTCCTGGGGATTTCTGCCTTGGCTTGGCCACATGTTCCATCCCCCATGAGATCTCCATGATTTTGCAGAAGCTATCTTCCATGCCTGGAGTGCACTCCCTATTCACTTCTGTCTCCTAGAATCTCTAACTCCCTTTAAAGCCTAGCTCATATGCCCCAACCTACATGAGGTCCTTCTTGATTCTCCCCAAACCACTCCCCATTACTGATGCTTCCTCCTCCACAAATTAACTTGCATTTATTTTATATATGCTTGTATGTATATATGTTGCCTTACCCAATAGAACGTAGGCTCATTGAGCTCAATTTTGTTTTTGAATCCCTATCAACAAGCAAAGTTTTTGGTATGTATACTTAGCAAATGCTTTTAGACTGGTATGTTATTAGTGATATTGCAAAACCATATTGGGTGGACAACCTTATTTGGGATATAACTAATATAAAAATAACAGCTACCATTTATATAGTGTCTATTATGTGCCAGGCACTGATAGGCGCTTTACAGATGTTATCTCATTTCTCCTTTCCCTTCTCCTTCTCCTCCCTTCTCCTCTTCCTTCTTCTTCTCTTCCTTCCTCTTCCCCTTCTCCTCCTTCTCCTTCTCCTTGTCCTCCTCTTTCTTCTTCTCAACAACCCCAGGAGGTAGGTGCTGTTATCGTTCCCATTTTAGAGGTAAGGAAAATGAGACAGAGAAAGGTTAAGTGACTTGTTCAAGGTCATACAGCCAGTAAGTATTTGAGGCTGAATTTAAACTCAGGTGTTCTTTAATCCTGGCCCAGTTTTCTATCCACTGAGCCACTCACCTACCTGCATCACCTCACAAAACACAGAAATTAACATGTGGAGATGGAGATCATGGTGTAAGATCCAGCTAAACTAAACTTTATCCTCAAAGCCTCTGTAAATGAAAAGTGAACAACCAAAAATATTCACAAAATGGAACAAATCTACCAGGCTTACACTAGTCATCTATTTTTCACCATCCATGACAAAAACAGATTGTTACATTTGGACTCCACTACCTCCTTCTCCAGGAAATGCTGTAAAGTGCCAATAGTTCTTAAGATACAAATCAGTCAGAGTGGCTGAACCTAACAAATGACATACACAAGAAATCTATACTGAAATGATTTGCTTCGAAAAGTATACAGGAATCAATTCTCAAGATTTTCTCAAAAGAAAAACACCCAAAAAAGAAAAACAATCATGAGTATTATTTTGAATTTTAAAAAGATAACTATGAAAAATTATCAGAGTTACCACATTTGTTTCTTCATCTCAAAAATATTTAGTGAGTTTCATTCAAACACATATTGAGGCTATCCTTGATGAAAATAGGAATATGGAACAGGTAGGCATAAGCTTTGGACAAGTGTTACAACTGGGAGGTAAGCTGGACCCAGAGAAAGAAAATAGGTCGTATGGCATTCAGGAAACGGCTTGTAGTGGAAAAGTATTTTTAATGAGCTGAACTGTGTCACGTTACAAAAGTCCAGTTTCTTACCTCTATACACTCATAATGATGCTAAAAATCATGAAACAATTTACCAAAAAATATTAATTTTACAAGTAATTATAAAAGTATAATGGCATATTAAGAACATGAAGAGGATGAAGTATATTGTAGACAACAAAAATGTTAAATAAAAAAGTACTGAGGACACATATAATTGGAAAAGGAAGCAAGTCAGTCATGCAGGAAGGAGAGCTAACAGATGGGCAATCCAAATGGGATACTGGTGTTACTAAAAGAAAAACAAAATATGAAGAAGGTCTTAAGTGAATAAGGTAAGATTTCTATGGAAGATTTATGACAAAATCTGGACAAGAGTCCACAGGATGAGAAGATGGTACAGTCTTCCATAGTGGTGAAAGAGGAAGAAACCATAGATCATTCTATATATGAACTTATTTTCTTGGGAATGGTTTCTCACAGGAGTCAAGTACATATGGTTGGTTAACTGAGGGTGCCAGTTAGATGGGTTTGGATTAAATTTAGGTCTTATTATACCCTACAAAGCAGATATTCTTATTACACTGTCAATCCCTACTTAAGTTTTAACTTAAAAGGAAAGGATTACTTGCCTATAACTATGGCTTTCTCATTACCTCACAGGGAAACTATTACACTCCCCCCCCCATACCACAGGTTATCCAGATAGAGGATAAATAACATCTCAGTTTACATGGCTCCTAATATTTTTAGAGTATGGGATGATGAAGGGTCCAAAGCCAACTCTCTTTTCTTT